TGATTGGTAGCTATATTGTCATTAAGACAGAAGGAGGTGACATACCAATTAATTCTGAAGAATAGGTGATATTTGTTGACTACATGCAAGGATAATATCTGTTGTAGGTGCTTATGTCAGAAGATCTCCTTTACAATGTGTCTGATCAGGATAAGAATAAGTTGGTTATTGTAGTTAGCGAAGCTCTGTGGAGCGGCCGTCAAGTTAAGTTGCAAGGCTGGGAGGGTAAGAGCATTCTTTGCCATAGCATTTACTTTGTTATTCAAGAGATTATCTGAGTGCGCTTTGACTTTTATTAAATAAACATTCAGGTTGTGCTCTGAGATCACTTCAAAAAGACAAGACCAAAGCACAAAGTTGTTGATTTTCAGAAAAGGTCTGAGGTGAAAGACTGCTTCTTAAGAAAACTGAATTTATTGAATTGTGATATGATAACAGCTGAGTCAGTATAAATTTTGACTTTGCAATTTGGAGGGGTAGTCAAAAGTGCGGTGAAAAGAGCTGCAGATTCAGGTATTGATGATGTTAAAAAGCTGGAAGCCAGAGCGGTGTTGAAGGAAACCATAGACGAATTTTGGTAAGATTGTAACCAAGCAAACCCCATTTTGATTGAAGGAAGACCGACGTCTTTAAGAGACCCATCGGTATAAAATTCTAACTCAGTAGTAGAAACAAAAGTAGAGAAAAGTATTAGTAGTTCATCTTTGAAAGGAGAGGAGATAAATCTATCTATACAAGAATTATGTGCAGGAGGAGGAACAGGAAGCGGTACATTTAAAATATAGGGCTGTTGGGACGCGATTGCACAGGTTAAAGCCAATTCATTGAGAGCACCAACGGAAAGCGCTGTAGAACTAGAATTGTCATAATAAATATTGTGAAAGGCTGCACAGTATGCACGAGGAATACTGATACAGCAGTATGAACTGTTAGTTGGAGGTATATCATTATTGTGTAGGGGGCATCGAAGACATGGGATCAATTTAGTACTATGATCAGTTGTTCTTTCAAAATTGTAATGTCTGAGATACAAAGAATCTTGGTCAGCATGGGTGATGCGTCCAATGATAAAATTGTTGAGATTAAATATCCAGCCCACTGCATATGATCTATATCCAAGAGTTAGATTTTGTTGCTTCAATATGTAACCATATATTAAATTGTGTGGGAAAGATCTGGTGATAAATCTGTCTGGTGATGGTTGTAAGTACTGTTCCATGACGGTAAACCATTTGGGAGTTCTGACAAACCTCGTTTGTTGCTGCGTAATGTGGATAAAGTCTTTGTAGGAGAACATACAATTACCAACACAATTGACTAGTTGTTCAGCATAGAGGACAGAGCATTTTCTGAGATCCATGATGTGATTCCTATAGACAGACATTATAAGATCTGAAATCGGGGTGATACCACCGGATACCAGATTAGTAAATTTTAACGAAACGCTAAGATTAATTTTCAGTTTGTTGAGAATGCTAAGCAAGGCTGGAAGCCAATCATCTTTAGATCTTTGGGTATTGTATGGCTAATTTATTAAAGGATTAATGTACAACCATTCACGGGTTTGCAGTTGTCTGACACGTATTTTGAATGTGAGACCTAACAAATTAGATTCATTGGTCATCTACAAAATGGCACTACTAAGATTCTGAATAAGTCTTTGTTAGAGGGAGGTAATGTTGTAGAAATAATGTGATAGAAAAAGCGAGGATGGCGTTTTCCGTGAAAAGTGCAATTTGGAGCGGAGGAAGGCTACATATGATGCCATGATTCTGTCATAGTGTTTTTCCGCAGGGAGTGTAAGTTGTGACTTGTATTCAATGCATGGAAGAATGACTGTATTAAATATGTATATAAGTTGAGCGTCTGTCAATTTTTTTGCTTTCATTATGGTGATTGCGGATTTAATTTCTTCATGGATTTGGTTGGTGATGAATGTTCTGTTGTCTATCAGTGAAATCCAGACACTGAGATACCTGACATTTTCACTGGGTTTACACACAGTGATGTGATGGGTGTCGTTGTGCTTGGCAATGGCGAAGGGCTCTGGCTGAGTCTTATTTACTAGGAGTTCTGATTTGGACTAATTAACTTGGATGTCATTATAGGAATAGAAACTGTTAGTAATTCTGATTATTGATGTTAGATCGTCAGCAGACTTGACAATCCATAGAGTATTGTTCATGAAAGCTAAAGCTGGAATCGTTGTAGAAAGGCATTGCGTAGCAGATAAACGAGCATCAGGTTGCCAACAGCAATTCATTTTATAACCGTGAGGTGACTCTTGGATTCTACATAGTAATAGATCGTAGTAAATACACCACAAAAGGGGTGAAATGACTTCTTCTTGGTCTATGCCTGAAACGACAACATAGGGGTCAGTGTTGCCATGAGCAGTGAAGATTCTGTTGAGTCTAGGAATAAATAATTTCATGATGATGTTGATGTAGCTGAAAGGGAT